TACACTGGAATTCAACTTATCAGAAATGCTTGCAACTTACCTGAATCTTCACTTAGCAGCACAATGTCGTCTGCGTACTTTATATCAGACAGCCTGCCACTTGGGAGTAAATCGATGCCACTATCCTCGCACGAGGATAGGGCTGTTTCCATAATCAGATCTATGACCAAGTTAACTAGAAAAGGAAAGAGAGGCAACCTTGACGAACAACTTTCCACGTGGAACTCGGGCGAAAAAGTGCCGTAAGCCCGGACTCGACTTTGGCTATTAGTATAAAGCGATATTCATACTCATTAATGTATTTCTTATCCAACAAATCACCTGATCTGAATCAGCTGTACTTCATATCACGTGACATTTGTTATGGTGGAGCCTCTCTCGTCATCATCACAACAAGAGCCCCTCTCATGGATGCAACAAGACAACGAAAGATGGAGAGAGAGAATCATAATTTGATGTTCATGGTAGAGCGAGTAAATGTCAGAGACAAATAGATAGACCAATTAGGCACGAAAAAATCTATGACTAAATACGATTGCCTCATCGACTTCCTGGCTGTAGCGTGACCGACTACTGGTTGTCTGATCCAGTTTGTCTAACCGATCGGGGAATGTGCATACTCGTTGTCTGTCATAATTTAGTGCGTCATCTGATCGTTTTTGCACAAGTATGATTTTCAAATAGTGAAAATATCGTAAAATGGAAACAAGGGTGAGAATATATTTAACGAAACAAATGGGAAGATTAACCCGTCAGTAAACAACAATGGCCGTTGAAGGCATCGAAACTGGCAAGCTACTCCCACCACACACCACCCCTACTGTCCTCACACCAGAGCTCCTTTTTCCGGTATAAAACTTACTTCTCCGCCTCACGACGAATGCAATCTAATCCTTCCAGGTATAGTGGACTGTTACTCGATGTGGTGGAATAACCTAAAACAAATAAGTATTGTCCATCATATGGGTACACAACACAGACCGTATGCCCAATTGGATCCACAACCGGAACGACCGCATATCAGATTGTCTTTGCGCAGATGAGGTCTTGTGATGCAGTCTAGATGAAGGGAGATAGTTTTTTACTTCAACTCGGTCATTTGTTGAATTTTCTGAATAGATTTCGGTTCGGCGTCCACAAGTACTCCCTTGAATTGGCGCATGCTGTCCAAAAGGAAGCTGGATGTACTTTTAAAAAGAGGATAGGATGAAAGAAATAAAAAGATGGAATTGCTTAGTTGTGTCACTGGAATGTTTTGTATCATCACACAGAAGAAATTCAACAAGCTTAGAAATGCCAACTTGACAGTTAATTTGGTCTAAGTCAAGGTCAAAGTTTTATTATGGACGATTTAACAAAGCTAAAGCTTATCATGCCCCATAGGATTTTTACAGAATGTTTTGAATAACTTCACAGAGAGGAAATAACAATGATAATAATGTGCGTGATCACTCACGGATGTTGAAATTTTAAGTGTTACAATGCTTTATCAAGTTACGATTTAAATAGTTCAACTGTAGGAGCACACACTACATCAGATGGGAGAGAGTTCCATGCGCCGCACACTCTGACTGCAAACGGGTGATACCGGCAATCAAGGTGGCTGTTCTGGGTCTTTACCTTTAGTGGATGTCCCCTGAGGTG